TTCATCTAGTTTTCAGTGATGTACGGGGTCCAGCACACATAGCTTCCAATAGATATAGGTATTATGTCTCTTTCGTCGATGCGTGCACGAGACATAGTTGGGTTTACTTGCTTAAAACCAAGGATCAAGTTCTGCAAACTTTTCAGTTGTTCTTCAGCTTGATACAAACTCAGTTCAATGCTACTGTGAAAGAAGTTCAAAGCGATTGGGGAGGTGAGTATCGATCAGTCTCCACTTGGCTTAAATCTCTAGGTGTATTGCATCGTCTAGCATGCCCACATACATCCGAGCAAAATGGTGTGGTTGAGCGAAAACACAGACACATAATTGAGTCAGCACTAGTTCTTATGGCTCAATCTTCGATTCCATTTAAGTTCTGGTCGTATGCAGTGTGCACTGCTGTGCATCTTATTAATCGGCTACCTACGAAATTTCTTCAAAACAAATCCCCATACGAGGTGTTGTACTCAAAGAAACAAGACTATGGTTATCTCAGAGTTTTTGGTTGTCGTTGCTTTCCCCATTTACGGCCATATAATGCTCATAAACTCAACTATCGATCCTCTCAGTGCGTGTTCTTGGGGTACAACACTCAACACAAAGGTTATCAATGCATGGACTCGGACGGTCGAGTGTTTATTTCACGACATGTCATTTTTGATGAAGAATTTTTTCTTTTGCAACATCAGGCATCAAGACTGGGTGCAAGTGTACGTTACGTAAGAGTGGTGTACAATTTCCTTTAGTAGCTGGTGCTCAGCGTGTCTGCATGAGAGGAGAATCACAGGGTGTTAACTCTGTGGCCAGTGTTGATGAGTCAGGGTCCAACTCGTTTAATAGTATGAATCTACCTGAAGATGCTAGTCATGAAGCAGATATACAACCTGTGGTGTCAGGAGAAAATGCTGTAGATAAGGTTGAACAGCGAGATGAGAATGTGGCTGAACAACAAAGTTCAAATGAGACAAGTACCGTGGTGTTGAACCAGACTAATGGAGCATCTAGCGATAGTGGTCAAAGTGGTCACGATCAGTATGAGATATTACAACCAGTGACACGCCATCACATGGTTACACGCAGCAAAAATGGAGTGTTCAAACCCAAGTTGTACTCCTCAACTATCAGTGGTGAATCTGCATGTCAGAATAGCAGCGATATGAGTGAGGTTGAACCTCAAAATATTCATGAAGCCTTCAAGGATCCGTTGTGGAAGGCTGTTGTGCTTGCTGAATATGAAGCACTTCAGAGGAATAATACATAGTTGGTTGTCCCTCTACCAGAAGGAAGAACTGTTGTTGGCTGTAGGTGGCTGTTTCGAGTCAAGCGTAATGCTAATGGCTCGATACAAAAATATAAAGCCAGACTTATTGCTAAAGGATTCTCACAAGTCCCTGGTAAGGATTTTCAAGAAACGTTCAGCCCTGTTGTAAAAATGTCAACAGTGAATATTGTGTTGACAATTGCTGCTCGCAATGGTTGGAGTCTAAGACAAGTGGATGTAAATAACGCGTTTTTGAATGGCGAACTAAATGAAGAGGTGTTCATGGAACAACCTCAAGGCTTTGAACAACAGGCTGGAGATGGAAAAAGGTTGGTGTGTAAGCTACAGAAAGCCTTGTATGGGCTACGGCAAGCACCAAGGAATTGGTACTCCAAGCTGAAAAATTTTCTTGTGGACTTAGGGTTTCAAAGTTATCGTTCAGATACCTCGTTGTTCATTAGACATAGTGATTGTACCAGCACATATGTCTTAGCCTATGTCGATGATATCATTGTTACAGGAGGCAAAAATGAGGACATCGAGCAAGTTGTGAAGCTGCTAGGAGCAAAATATTCACTCAAAGACTTTGGTAAGCTTAATTTCTTTCTTGGAATTGAAGTTAAGGGTGTTGATGGTGCAGTGTTCCTTAGTCAGAAGAAATATATAACGGAGCTGCTAGATAAGTCAGGAATGAGTAAGGCCACAGCAACTCCAACTCCTATGGTTGCGTCGATTAAACTGTCAAGTAACGGTGCAGGCAGTTTGTTAGAAAACGCAAGGGAATATCGCAGTTTAGTTGGGTCCTTGTTATATGCCTGTCATACAAGGCCAGACATAGCTTATTGTGTGAATAAGCTAGCACAGTTTATGCATGCACCATGCGAACAACACTTGGTGGCTGTCAAACGGGTGCTGAGATATCTTAAGGGGACACTTGATTATGGCCTGGTGTTTTTGCCGAGAACAGAACCATTTCAGCTTGTGGCCTTTGCTGATGCAGACTGGGGAAGTAGTATTGATGATAAAAGGTCCATATCAGGCACCTGTGTTTTCCTAGGTGGTATTATGGTTCAGTGGAGTTCAAAGAAACAAAAGATAGTCTCGAGATCCACCACAGAGGCTGAGTACAGGAGCCTAGCTGATGCCACATCTGATGTCGTTTGGCTTGAAGCATTGCTGACTGATATGAAAGTTCCAGTTCAAGCTGCTTCAGTGGTGTGGAGTGACAACACCAGTGCGATTTCCATGAGTGCTAACCCAGTACACCACTCTAGGACAAAGCATGTGGAGTTAGACATACACTTTGTGAGGGAACGTGTGGCTGCAAGAAGGCTTCAAGTGAATTTTGTACCTTCTGAACATCAAGTAGCAGACGGACTTACTAAAGCACTAACGAAAGATAGCTTTGCTCAGTTCAGGCAAAGACTTGGTGTGCTGTCGTTTCTTGAAGTTGAGAAGAGAAAAAGTAGGGAGGATATTGAAGTGAATATTCTAGAATGAATCTAGAATGAGCTGCTGAAGTAATTTGCTGTGTGTGTGTAATGTAGTGCAGTAAGTTTGTTAGGATTCTATTATACCAGATTACCAGTTTGTGGAGTTAGTTACCATGTGTATATAAACCATGTGTTGTTAATGAAAAGAACTAAGTAACTTCCATCAAGATTTCCAGCTTTCTTTACTCATTCTAATAGTTTCAAATGAATTTATTATAAAAAAAATTTAATGTCAATATTGGTAGGTAATACTCTTTAATAGATTAAATTCAATAATGGTACTATGCTACTGGCTAGGTATTAAGCCCCATAAAAAAATTACAAATAAAATTAGAATTAACAAATAAAAGTTGAATACTTTGATTTTTTTTAATATTTAAATTGATTTGTAACACTCCTAGATCAATTTGAGTGATCTGATCCAATTCAAGGTGTCATATTAAGGCCACCAGAGCGACCCATAATAAAAGTTCATGAAAAAACTTAAAACTATAAAAACAATTTATATATAAAAACACATATAAAGAAAGATCCACTCATCTATTAAAAACATAATTAAAATCATACAAGTTTCAGACTTAGTGAAATCAAATGTGACATACATGTCCCCTAATTACACATATGTCGTACTCTCAAGCAGCGCCAAAGGAACTCCCATGCTGATGTCAATAATTGCATGGGATCGATTTTTAACTTGAAATGGTAAATAACAAAGTGTGCTTTGGGAAAGCTCAGTAATACATAACTACCATATGATGCTGAAGGACATGCATATAAATTGTAAGCATAAAATTCTTTATTGATCCAGGTGTCTACAGGTTTTCGTAATGAGCTGAGGTTCGACTGATATTTCTTCAAGTAATAGACATGAAGTTTATAGTTCATAGGAAACCCTCAGAGGATCAGGTTCAGGAGATTGAAAATAGGCATCTAGTGTGTTTCCATAAAATAGAAATAGTGTACAAATTGTTTAAAGACAGTAGTAGTTTATTTCAATAAAACATATTTTTAAAATCATTGTAGTACCCTCTACCCGAATACTCTATATATAGTACCCAATATACAGAACAAAAAGGAATTAACATCTAGTTGAACCTCAGAACTCAGGAAACCTACCCAATCAATACCCCACTATAAATCAGTTTAACAGTAACCAGTAATATTAGAGATCGGGAGCCAGATATATTATATATCAGAAAACATAAATCAAAGATTGGACCCCAAGTAGATTTTATTTGGGCTTGGGATGAGCCCAACAAGCTTGAAAAGGGATGATTTTAACCATGCATCAAATGAATGAGGACTAGGGAAGTAATTAACCCAATTTTTGAAACAAAGGATGAATCCCATTAATCCGAAATGATCTCACGTCTGATTTTTGCTATCTCTTTTTCTTCACCATTGCTTTGTCTTCTTCCTCTTTACTATTTGCTTTCTTTTCTCTTCAAGAACCAAACAAAGTTAGGAGCTTTAAGAAATTCAAGCCTCCATTGTGAAATCTAAGGTAGATTCATCATCCTCATCATTCAAGCTTTCATTCAAACCCAATTTGATAAGTTTTGGCCAAGTTTCACAAAATTGAGTTTAGTGATGGTTTATGAGATTCAAAGTTTTGGTTCGTTTTATGGGTTTCGATTGGTAGGAAAATGTTCTTGGCTTCTCCCTAAGGTTAAAAAATGAACTAACAACTCATTAAACTTGTTTTGATTAGTTCAAGAGCAAGGAAAAACTAATACTTGGGTGATTTGGGGACGTTTTGCAATCACCTAACTTCAAGGTAACACGATTCTAACTTTACCATACCACATGTAGGTCATTATATGTGCATTTATGGTTTGTTTGGTTCATGAAGCATGCTAGAGTAATTTTCATAGCAAGATTCGTAATTGTTGTTTGCAAGCATGAAAGATGATAACTTTTAATCTCTAGGACCTCAAATAAGACTTTAATAAGCTTTGTTAGTCTTAGGGGAGTGTATGGGTGAGATTTAGAGGCATTTTCGTGCCCAAAACATTAGGTATGATTTTGAAAAAGAATTAAAAGTTTAGATATTAAAATGGATTGAAACTGATAATTTAAGTACTAAACATGTCATTTATCCTAAAATTTATCACAATTTATTATTATTTTAATATTACAGCGACCGATCACCATCTATAAAACCCTCCCACTTGAGCTATCTTCCCATTAAAGGGAAGATATTTATATACATATATATTCTGAGAGACTCCATTAAAGGTAATATAATGGATGGTAAGGCGAAGGGCAGCGTGCTAAGTGAAGAAGATGATGACCAGAGAGAGTTGAGACGGGGTCCATGGACTGCTGAAGAAGATCTAAAGCTCCTCAATTACATTGCTACCCATGGTGAAGGTCGATGGAATTCTCTTGCTCTTTACGCAGGTAAAAATAATAAATACGTGTATATATATATATATATTTCACTAAAACTTATGGTATCTAAATAGAATTTCAAAGGACACATGCAGGTCTCAGACGAACCGGGAAATGCTATAGATTGAGATGGTTAAATTATCTTTGCCCCGATGTTCGACGCAGGAACATCACGCCCGAAGAACAGTTTCTAATTCTCGAACTTCACTCTCTATGGAGAAACCGGTAATCTTTTAACTCGAACTCCGACTCACGACGACTCCGTCACTCTAACAGTGACTATGTGTCTATGTCGACAACTTTAATCATCTTTTTTCCTGTTTAAACGACTGCAGATTGTCAAAGATTGCTCAACACTTGCCTATGGATACTAATTCAAGGATACCATGCGTCGCCTATGGATGCCGAGGTTAGTCGAAAGAACACGAGTCGCTGCCGCGGGGCAAATTGTTGCACCACTGGGGATTGGAGGCGAACGAGTAACCCTGAGTTACACTGCCACTGAAAATCCCAGCACCGCAGCCTCGTCAGAGACTCGAGTTTCATCGGATTATTATGTCAACATCTCGGTTAACGAATCCGGACTACTTTCATCATCAGTGTTCATCCTTTATAAGTCCCTCTAGTAATTACTACAACGCTGGGGTGGATTTCCAACCACGGTTAGATGGAGCTGATGTTGCATCAGATATTCTCTTGAACTCTGATGATTCTTTGTTCTCACAGCAGCAGTCCAACTTCCACATGTGATATATATGTAGTACGAACTACTGTGACAGAAGCAACACATATGAGAGTAAGATCCGATTACAAGATATAAAACTAATATATATTTTTATATATATTGCACTAATAGCAAAATGTATTTGGAAAAACAAAAGTACATGGGAGTGGTGGTGCCCCAGGCAAGGCCATTGACACTATGCTTGTTGGAGTTTGTCAATGCTTTGTGCCTCACGCTCATGAACCTTCCATTAGTCATTGCCTACAAAAGTGTTCAAAATATACATGTATTATTAGTCTCAGACTTTGTAAAAAATATTACATAAGTCCCTATACTCTTAAAGTAAAGTGCATTTTGATCCCTTATTTTTTTTATTAAAAATAGAGAAAACAAAAAGCTCATTTACGTTCGAAAAACAAGCAAAATGACTATTTTGTAATGGTTCAATAAAGTTTTATGGTCTTGCGTAGCAGTTTGATAAATTTAATTATCATTTTATTAGTTTTGAAAGCTTATTGACCTTTGATATATTTCACCCAAAAATTTATTACTTTTGACGGGGCTATAAAACAACTTTCTCCTTTGTTGAAGGGGCCAATGCCGCTAATTGCTCCTTTTACAATGGTTCATTGCCATTGGTTCTCCTCTCTTTATATTTTTTTCCCAATTAATTACTTTTATATATATATCGGATTAAGTTCACGGTAAGTTTTTATCATAAAAATTAAGTCAAATTTTAAATCGGATGAACTTTTTTAAATTCAGGTCAAGTCGAATAATCGGTGAAAGAATATAATACTCAAGTTAAGTTCGAACAGATGTATAACGAAAGACTCGTGTCAACGGAATTTTAGCTGCCGTTATTCTAGAATGTACCTAGATTGGGAATTTGGGACATTGTCTCATAGTACAAACAAATAGAGAGTTTCACGGGCACAAAAACCTTGTTCCAATAAGCTCACGAGACGAACTTCAATCATATATATTATCATGCACGCCAATCACAAAAATTTCAACAAAATCAGCAATAAAATGTATATAAAAAGGGATCCATCCAAAACCCAATCCACAAGACAAGGAATCCAAATGAAGCTAGTACCGTTCCAGCTTTCCTTCATCCTATTATGCATTCTCACTAGAGATGATTCTCTGGCGGCTTCCGAGACTGGGAATTCCAAATCGATTCCCCGCCTCGGAACTTACAACGAGACGATATTCAACGTCTCCAAGCAATTATGTTCGGGTTGCGTCGGGGAGTCGTTGGAGTTTCTCTTCACCCACAACTTAGTGAGGGCGACCAAATGGGAGTCACTTTTGTTTTGGGATTTCCGGCTCGAGAAGTACGCCCGTTGGTGGGCGAGCCAGAGGAAACCGGGCTGCGAGCTACAACATTCGTTCCCCGAAGGCGAGTTCAAGCTCGGGGAGAACATATTTTGGGGCAGCGGATCAAAGTGGAGGCCGAGCGATGCGGTGAGTGCATGGTCCGACGAAGAGAAATACTACGACTACGCAACCAATTCGTGCCAAGAGGGAGAGATGTGTGGCCACTACACGCAAATCGTCTGGAAAAATACCCGAAAAATCGGATGTGCCCGAGTGGTTTGCGACACAGGAGACGTGTTCATGACTTGCAACTATGATCCACCGGGCAACTATATCGGCGAAAGGCCATATTGAAATGGAGGAGTATTGCAATCCTAAGGGATAAACTGCTCAGATAATCACTCCACTATTATATCATCACTGTATACATACATAAAATCGTATATGTATACGTACACGTATGTGTATTTTGATTTTATTAGCTACTAGGTGTTTGATGTGTGGCCCTAAGTTGTGCTTCGTACATTTTATATTATTAAAGGTAAATTACATGTTTAATACCTAAATTATCAGTTTTGGTTCATTTTAATATCTAGACTTCCAATTTTTTCAAAATCATACATAACGTTTAGTTTTTGTTTCATTTTAGTACCCCGACGTTAAGAACTTAGGGAACAGTTACAAATTGGATTTTTATGGGTAAATTACATCATTCATCATTGAAATATCTTCTTGTGGTCATTGAAGTTTAATTTTTTTATTTAATTACTTAAATTTCAAATTACTCCTAATTTAACACTCTAACTTTCAAATTTAATTTTTTATTTTAATTATATATTAATAAAATAAAAAATATCATGTCACAAAATATTATTAATAAAATAAATTAGAGTGATTAAAACATGCGTAATTTGAAAGTTGAGTAGCTAAATTGAAGTTTGTTGAACTTTAATGACTAAAATAGGAGTAAATAGATAGTTAGGGGATTGTTGAAACATTTTAATATTTCGATATAACAAATTAAGTTAAATGGATTTTAAGATTTTCAAATTAAGTTAAAGTAATTTTAAGATTTTCCAAACGATTTTCTAAGTATATTCGATATAACTATTCGAATATCAAAACATTACTCCAAATATTTCAAAAATCATTTTTGATCCTTACTTAAGTGTAAAATTAAGTTTTAATCATAAAACAATTTCAAAATAATCTTACAAAGTATTTCGAACCAATTCAAAGCCAAAAATTCCAGATTGCTCCAGAGGGAACCGATTCCCCCCCATAGGAGGAACCGATTCCCCCCTGAATGGTTTGGCTCCGAGATTTCCAGAATGCTCGGAGGGAACCGATTCCCCCCCAAGGGGGTACCGATTCCCCCCTGTTCAACGGTCGAAATATTTGAATTTTACACTTAGGGAACCGATTCCCTATGAGAGGGAACCGATTCCCCCCACTGTCCAAGCTGTTTTATTAAATGTTTTCACACTAAAACGGCTATAATATCTTCTCTAATTATCCCCAACGTTCAGAAGTGATCCAAGGTGTATTTAAGCAAGCTTAGAAGCCATTGATCAACAACAAGAAACATCAAGCAACTAGAATCAAGAGAGAATCAAAGAGAAAGCATCAAACCTCAAGTTTGAGCATTTCAAGCCCATTTTCATTCAATATTCATTTTGCTTTCAAGAACACTTTTTGTGCTCAGTTGTATTCATCTTTGAGTGTTCTTTTCTTTGTTCTAGAATTGTGCAAACATCTTACCTTGTGAGGTTTTCTTGTAAGTTTGCAAATTTGTAATCTTCTCTTTGAGAAAAGAGTGTTCTCAAGAGTTGGGGTATACTCTTGAGGGAATTGTAAGGTTATCTCTTTGGCCTCAAAAGAAAGAACAAATTAGTGAATTTGTTGGAAAATCCTTAGTGTGGATAGCTAAGGTAGTGGACGTAGACTTTGTTTGAGAAAGTCGAACCACTGTAAATCGCTGTGCAATTACTTTCAATTTTCTGCAAAAGCTTCCACAAAATTTTTATTGCCAATTCACCCCCCTCTTGGCCAATTTCGTCATTCGATTAACTCAACAATTGGCATCAGAGCCTAACTCATTTGAAGGTTTAATCGCCTCTTGAGTCGATCCGGGAAGAGTTACATCGATTACAAAGTCATCAATGGCCTCCACTTCAAACTTCGACTCCGGTCTCGATTCGATGCCCGTCAACAAGCCTCCTTTCTTCAATGGAGCTAACTATGCCTATTGGAAGAATAGAATGATGTACTTCATTCAAGCAAGTGACATGGGAGCATGGAATGCTGTAGAAGAAGGATACATCAAACCTCTCACTCATCCAAGGTTATGGAGTGAAGGAGAGACAAGAATGTTCCAGCTCAACTCCAAAGCCATCCATATTATTTTTTGTGCTCTTGGACCAGATGAATACGGAAGAGTTTCATCGTGTACAACCGCCAAAGAAATATGGACAAACTTCAAGTCACACATGAAGGTACAGATGAGGTAAAGAAATCAAAAATTAGTATTCTAACGCATAGCTATGAAAATTTCAGGATGAAACCAAATGAAGACATCAAAGCTATGACGAATAGATTTTCAACGATTTTCAATGGTCTCAAATCATATGGAGAGATCATCTCAAATGAAAAGCTTGTGAGGAAGTTAGTCTACTCCCTCCCAAAATCATGGCAATCAAAGAAGACGGCAATCATCGAGTCTAAGGACCTATCGTCCTTAACTCTTGAAGAACTTATCGGTTCACTCCTCACTCATGAGATGATGCTTGAAGATGAGGTGGACCTTGATAAAGTTGAAGAGACACCAAAGGAGAAGGAAAAGAAGAAAAACATTGGAGTTGCTCTCAAATCCACAAAAGATGAGAGTGATTCTAATGATGATGATGACGAGGAAATGGCATTGTTTGCCAAACGGTTCAGAAAAATGATGAGACCTTACCAAGGAAGAAAATTCAAACGAAACGAAGGCCTCAAAAATGAACCAAAAGAGAAGGACCCAATCATTTGCTATGAATGCAAAAAGCCGGGGCATGTCAAATATGATTGCCCACAATTGAAGAAAAAGGTCAATCAAAGAATAAGCACAAGGCTCATGTGGCTACATGGAGCGATGAAGAAGGTTCCGATGAAGAGGAACAAGAAGTAGCAAACTTGTGCTTGATGGCATTCGGGGAAGATTCTAAGGTAACCTCTAACTCATCTGATTTTGATGATTTATCTTATGATGAGTTATTTGAGGAGTACAATGGGTTGGCTTCGATTATGAGAAATTGTTTTTAAAATATAAAAATGATGTTTCAAAATTGAAAAATGAAAACAAACTCATATCCAAAACCAACAACGATCTTGAAAGTAAAATCAAAAATTTGCAAATCAAACTAGAAGAGTTTGAAAAGAAAAATTTAGATTTGCAAAATTTACTTTCAAAGATCAATGATGATCATCAAAAGAAAATTGATGATCTTAAAACTTCTTTTGATAAAGTTGGAACAAAACATTTTGAAAAAGGTGAAAATTCAAAATCCAACTTTGTTAGAAAAAGTTTTAGAAACTACAATCATAGAGGTCCCCAAAGAACCTCTAATGGAAAAATCATTAGAAGTGTGTGGGTTCCTAAAGAACTCATTACTACTAAAGATAAAAATATCCTACACAAATGGATACCTAAAGGGACTAGGATTTTGGAAACTAATGAATATGGACCCAAAAGAATTTGGGTACCAAAAATCAAAAATTAATATATGTTTGTAGGGAAAGGAGCATTGCTACAAGGCACGGGAAACAAATTCAAACTCATGGTACCTTGATAGTGGATGCTCAAGACATATGACCGGAGACAAAAGCCGGTTCATTGAGCTTAACGCCAAAAATGGAGGAGAAGTGACTTTTGGAGACAATTCAAAAGGTCACATTGAAGGTATTGGTACAATAGGTAACACCTCTTCCATACAAATTAAGAATGTTTTATATGTGAATGGATTAAAGCATAATCTATTGAGTATTAGTCAATTATGCGATAAAGGATTCAATGTCTTATTTGAAATTAATGGTTGTAAAGTCATTGACATTGCATCTAATCGGATTATGCTTGTTGGTCATAGAATAGGAAACATTTACATGGTGCATTTAGATTCTATTGATATGACTAATTTATGCCTAGTTGCTAAGGATGAGCATGATAGTTGGTTATGGCATAGGAGACTAGGTCATGCTAGTATGAGTGTTTTGCAACGGCTAATTCAAGGTGATTTAGTTCGAGGGTTGCCTAAGCTTAAATTTGATAATGATAAAATCTGTGATGCTTGTGCTAAAGGAAAACAAAAACGAGTTTCTTTTAAATCTATTAATGATGTATCAACTAGTAGAGTATTACAATTGATCCATTTAGATCTTTTTGGGCCAACTAGAACTACTAGCTTGGGAGGAAAACAATATGCATTTGTCTTGGTAGATGACTATTCTAGATACACTTGGGTTCTATTCTTAAGTACTAAAGATGAAGCATTAGAAAATTTCATCACATTTTCAAAAATAATCCAAAATGAAAAAGGATACTCTATCACTAGTGTTAGAAGTGATCATGGAACTGAATTTGAAAATCTTGGATTTATTGAGTTTTGTAATTCTAATGGTATTAGCCACAATTTTTCAGCACCTAGAACCCCTCAACAAAATGGAGTTGTTGAGAGGAAAAATCGAACTTTAGAAGAAATGGCTAGAACCATGCTTTGTGAAAATAATTTGCCAAAATATTTTTGGGCGGAAGCCACAAATACCGCTTGTTATGTTATAAATCGAGTAATGATTAGGCCAATTTTAAAGAAAACTCCATATGAAATTCTCAAAAATAAAAAGCCTAACATTAGCTATTTTCATCCTTTTGGATGTAAATGTTTTGTTTTAAACAACGGTAAAGAAAATCTTGGTAAATTGGATGCTAAAAGTGATGAAGGAATTTTTCTGGGTTATTCCTTAAACTCTAAAGCTTATCGTGTATTTAATAAAAGAACTTTAGTTGTAGAAGAGTCTATACATGTTGTTTTCGATGATAATCCCCTTCCGAGGAAGGATTCTTCTGTTAATGATGATGTAGGTATTGTACAAGCAAATGACGTTAGATATGACTTGGAGAATCATCATCAAAGGAAGAAACAAAAGATGAGGAAACTCATGATCCCCTCGAGAATCCAACCATTGAAGAAAGGGAAGTATCTTTTCCAAGAGAGTACAACTATGTCAAAGATGGTGAAATTATAGGTGATCCATCAAAAGGGGTAACTACTCGATCTTCTCTTAGAAATATGTAATTATGTTGCATTTATTTCATGCATAGAGCCTAAGAACATCAAAGAAGCATTAAAAGATGAACATTGGATTATGGCTATGCAAGAAGAATTAAATCAATTTGAGAGAAGTAAAGTATGGACATTAGTTGAAAGGCCTAGTGATAAATCTACTGTAGGTACTAGATGGGTTTT